CTGGCTGTCAGAGAGAATAGCGTCTGAGGTCTTAAAGGTTCATCTTCAAACAAGCAGCCATCTAAATCCACATGGAAGAAGCAAACCAGCTTGCGTAATCTAAGAATGGTAAACAATAAAACAAATCTGAAGGAGGGAATGGTATCAGAGCTTTAATTGTGAAAACCTTGTGTGCAGAAGGCTATTGACAGTGAGAGCCCAAAACCCATTTGCAGCTGGTCCACATATGGATTAAGCCTCCGGTGAATTCCCTTTGATCACAGTAGAGGGATGTTACTTGTTATGAGAGCCTTGTTATCAGAGAACACTGTAAAGTCGATTATGGCAGATGTCATTAGGTTAAAATGTAGTATTTTTATCATTTGATCGCCCTTTGACCCATTTTAAAGTTGTTTCCATTGGGAAAAAAAAGTCACGGGGAAATACACCCTCTGGTGCATCCCCTTTGAACACAGAGCAGGTATACGAACAACCTTGCTCTCATGAAGAGTGCATTGGAAAGTGGATTGCTGTAGACATAGTTCAAATGTACAACCTTATCATTTGATCACTCTTTTGACCCGTTTTAGATTGTTCTAAGTTTTAATATTTTCTGTTTTTTAATTAAGGTTTTTCTATGTTTTACTTTGTTATTGTTTGGGGTTGCTTTGGGGATATGTTTTCTGAATATGAAATCCAAGACAGGTAAATCTCCTACGACAGTAATGGGGGGTAGGGCATGGGAAGTTAGGGGGAACCAGGGACCTAATAACAAAGAGCAGAAGAAGGAATAAAGTGTTCTTAAATGGATTGTGGTAATGATTATACAACTCAATAAGACAGAACCATTGAATTCTATGGTATGCAAATTATATGCCAATAAAATTTTTTCAAAAAGAAGGGATCTCTACAAAATATATTTACCAAGGAGCATAACAGTAGCATAATAGGTTATGCTGTAGGGTGCTCCCCGCAATGACAGCAGTGTGAAATCACCAAACACTCTGCAGAAGAGAGATGAGCCTTTCTATTCCCATAAAGATTTACTCTTGCCAACCGAGAAGGGCAGTTCTACCCTGTCGTGTTGGGTCGTTACGAGTCAGAATGAACTTGATGGCAG